ACCCTCATCAGCAAAGCAATCACTTTGTGATTCAACGTGACAATACAAGCAGGGAAAACCACAGGGACTGCTTTTGTAAGTAGGAGAAATGAGTAAAAAGGAATAAATAGTATGGTTTAGAAAAAAAGGATGGATGAAGGGGCAGGGAGAGCCAGGAAGAGGTGGGAGCAGAGAGAGAGAGAGAAAGAGGGAGGGAAAGGAGGGCAGAGAAAAGAATAAAGGAGTCTTTACATGTCTGTGGAACCAGCAGCTCGCAGCACTTTCACATAATTTAAGACATATGGACGTTATTAGGACAACTGTGTCTGTGTGCGAGTGTGTGTCTGACTATATCTGTGTGTGAGAGAGAGAGAGCACAGGAGTGAGTGTGTCTTTAAGCATGTGTCTTTGCGCTGCAGGCTACAGAAGACAGTCACGTTTTTGTGGTGCAGCAAAATGACTGTTGTATTGAACAATCCCCCACTAAAACACACACACACACACACACACACACACACAAACTCCCGTCTTGTGTGGAACTTGGAACGTCCCAGAGTGACACTACATAAAAAACTGTGTTTGATTGGCAGCCAGAGAAACTGTGTGTGTGTGTTTCTCAACGTGTGTGTGTTTGTCTGACCTGTAGTTACCTTTCAGAGTCTCCCGTCTGCCTGCTCACACACTGACTGCCTGACTCACGGGTCCTACAGTAGCTCAACCTTTCTGCTCTGTCTGTACTTAAAAGTGTGTGTGTGTGTGAGTGAGTGTGTGTGTGTGTGTGTTGGAAGAGACAAAGTGCTCAACCAGATTGACCAATTATGCATAATCCAGTGCAGACGGGTTAAATGGCTAAATTCACAATGTTACACAGCCTTATTTGGCCTAACTAGTGTTTCTGGCGTTCAGTCTCTGCTTGGTGTGTGTGTGTGTTTGCATGGTTTTTATTGCTGATTTTTCATGATGATTCACAAACATATTTGCGTTGCATGTACTGGATATTGTATATAAAAGATAAATGGAGCTTCTTGATTTAAAAAGTGCCTTAAACCTGAATTCGTTTGAACGGCCAGCAGAGGGAGATTCCACTGGTTGTGAAGAGATTTCGGGTAGCGTTGAAGGTTATTGGAAAATTATTTGATCTCCGACTCTCAGTCAACACTTTTCATATTCTTTAAGGTCTCAGACTTTAGCTTTCAGACTGACTGAGCGCAATGTGATGTTTAAATTGTAAACTGTGGTCGTATCCATCCATACTTCTCTACATTAAGATATTTCCAGGACAGCTCAGAGATGTAATCTCTCTAGTTTGTCCTGGTCCTACCTGGGGCTTCATCCTGGTAGGACATACTTGGAACACCTCGTCTTACCAGGAGGTGTCCGGGAGGTATCTTAATCAGATGCCTGAACCACCTGAAACACATTCTTATCTGAAGGTATGCTGAAAACTAACAACCTAGTTTTTATAAGCAAAACCTCAGCATGAGGAGACATGATGAGGGCTGGTGGAAGTATAAGGCACAAAGCTGCCAGCCAGAAGACTGTTGCATCCCCTTGGGGAGCTTTGTGTTTTGTGATTTGTTTTGCTCTGTTTTCATTCACTGATTGGTTAGCACAAAAAGGACTTTGTTCGATGTAAGACAAAATGGCTCTGTTATAATATGCCCCTTCACAACAGCAGCCCTGCACATAAGCAGGGTACATGGCACTCAATGTGACACCGAGTTGTCTTGAACAAGCATTGATACGTGCGTAACACTCGTCTCATTATCGCCATGATTGGTGCGACACTGACAGCTTTGACAAATTTGACTTTGGCAGCGCTCGACACCATGGGAATGGGAACAGGCTGACCACAACCCTGTTTTACCACGCAACTTCAGCAACCCTCACGGGACAATCGATGTCATTATGAAAAGAGTGGAAAGCAGTTTAAAGATGCGCAATCCTTCGAATTTCATCCAAATCCAATCAGTGGTGTCCACTGTTTCCTGGGCAACAGACAAACAAATGACTGATTAATCCAACATTGACAGCCCTCAAAGTAGCAGACGAACAAAAGACGTCACTGCAGTTTCAGTATCTCAGGCTCTTTTGAGTTCAGATATTGTGTGTAATCTCCTGTGGTTGGGGTTGGGCAGCAGGTCGTGTAAGCTGATCTGTGACCAGCAGTCCCAGGGTGCGGCAGCAGAGGAAATGTAGTGCTACTAAGGTCTTAGAGGGCTCTGTGATCTGCACTAACCACTCCCTAACGCACAGCACATACGTATGTACCCGTACAGTGCGCACATGTAACGCATGCATGCACTCGTGCACTCGGCACCAGCTCAGTGGACTATTGTTCATTCATTTTCAGGAGGGCGTAGGGAGGGAAGCAGACTTTGGAGGAATGAGAAGAGCGGCAGAAAAATAAGAGGGAAATGAAGTAGAGAGCAAAATAAGAGTATGAGCGCCCAACTGATGTTTTGGTGGCTGAAACATCAACCTCAAGAACCACATGTACCCTCTCTGGCCTTGGTTCAGATCCCACTAGAAGCTGCTTTCTTCCCTCTCAATAAGTCAATGAAGAGAAGCAGAAACACTCCACTGGCTCCTCCGGTGTGTTAACATATGGGAAATATATTCCAAAATAAACAATAAAGGCACTTTGTTTGTGCATATTTCAGTAAAACAAAGAATCTGGACACAATACAGTTTTTACGAGCATATACTGTTATACTTTAAAAAAAAAACAAAAAACAACTCTTTCCCCCATACAGACAACATTTGACAGCCTCCCCTGTACCCTTAATGATGAGTTTTGACACTTCACAATATCAATAAAGAGGTGGTTTGACCACTATTAGAATAGTTTTCGGGTTTCTCCAAGGATAGCTGCATAAGCAGAGACCAACCTCACTAACTTTTGATGAACAACCAGTCATTTTGTTATGTAAAAAGCCCTGAAATATGACAGAAACCACTCAGTTAAGAAAAGGGTTTCAAAGGTTACTCCTCATCAGCTTTCAGGTGGTAACGAATTAAGGATGATTGCAGACAAAAGCCATTATCAAAGAGATTAAGCATATATTTTCTTTTACAACATGCTGCTATTAGAAACAATACCTATACAGGATTTTTTTTTTTTTAGCATAGATTAGTTTCTCTGCAGGGTCTAATAAAGGAGAAAGTCATAAAAAGAAACCACAGTGATTAAATAAAGCAGAGAAAAACCACAGACAAGTAGCAGTTGGAAGTTTGTATGTGTATTTTAGATAATAAAAACGAAAGCCATTAAAAAATAATAAAAAGCCACTTAACGTCTGCTGGATTGGAGACATTTCCAAAACAACTGTAAGGCTTCAATGACCACTATTTATTAGAAGTTTTCCACTTCTAATGGAAACTCAGCTCATTCAGCTTTGATTTCTGATTCAGTGAAACCTATAAGATGTATTGATTAGAGGGTGGTCTAAATTAAATATGACAGTCTTTTTTTGAAGTCTCAGTGTGACCATTCTAATATCATTGTCTTGTTTTGGAGCCAGGTGTGATTGTTGAGTGCATAGACACAGTTAGTTACTACTAGGCAGAACAGTGTTTCATTATTATTATTTTTATTAGTATTTTTAAATAGTATAAAAATACTAGAGCGCAGACATGTCGGACAAACAAACAATATTTGCTTTAAAATACTCCAAATATGTTTGAAGTGTCCACTTTAGTTACTTGCATCAGTGGATGTAAAGGATAAAAAGCCCCAACAAGTCAGCCATGCCTTGGTTAGATTAGGGAACAATATTAAAAATAGTAACTGTGTACAGCTATTAAGAAGAGAGAAATTTTTGTAGCAGCCTGTGAACATGTTTATTTTTGTTGTAAAGTAGGAGCATTTTAATATGGGGCTCTATGGGCATTTACCAACTTTTGGAATCAGCCTCAAGTGGCCACCGAAGGAACTGCACCTCACTTCTGGCATATTCTTTTTAGGTGAAATCCTAAACACAGCTACAAAATTTGATTTCACTCAGTGTTTTGAGAAAATAATTAAGGCTGTTAACGGCTACAGTTCATCTGGTTCTAACTTTGTTTTTTCTTCTTCACTCATCTACATAATTAGGAAAATGTCCGACCGTTAAAGGAACAAGAAACTTATTAGTTCAAATAAAACTAAGCATGGGTAGTTGACTCATTTTAATATAAAAGCTCTATTCTAGTCCATTTCCCTCTCCTTTTTCTCCTCTTCGGTGTTCTCCCCTCTAAATCATTCCCAAGACTCTTTCATGGGCAGTTTTGCACTTTAAATCTGATGGAATATTATTTGTCCAAACAACACTGACGACTGGTGACTGATTCATACTGAGAAATACTCTGTGCAGCCAGGAAAGAACTTAGCTCTTCCCCCTCTTTCTGTTCGTGCTCTTTCTGTCTGTCATTCTAGTTCTGCTGACTACAGGGGAAAAACCTCCACAATGTATAAGTCTCTGTAAAGACCAAGCAAGAGCAATAAGGGGGGAGAGACAGAGAGAGGGAGAACTTGGGGATAAATAAGGAACGGGAATCATAGAAAATGAAAAAATGAATGAACACGTGATGGAAAGTCCAGCCTAGGTAGAATTTAGAAGAGAGAAGGAGATCAATGGTTAGACAATTTAGAGAAATATGAGAGGCCTAGACAATGGCTACAAAAATACAGCCAGATGTTTTATCCTTTACCAAAAACCAGTTGTCTCTTTCATGGTCAACTGTAGAACTTTGTACCAAATTTCACTTGTAAAGTGCACATTTTTAGATTCCCTGCAAACCAAGAGACAGACACAAAACACCCCAATAAATTCCCAGTGAATACCAGCATTACTGCAGAATAAACTTGTGCTTCCTGTTGTCTTTCCACATACCTGTCAGTCAGGATTTACCGAGGGGATTACAACATATAATCTGTGGACATTTGTCCTCTGTTTTGACTTGCACTTCTCCAACAGCTGGGCGCTGTTGCATTCTGCATTTGAGACTGATGTTATTTGCTCATTTCTCTGTCCCTCCAGGTGTTTGCCAAAGTGTTCAGCCATGAGGCCTTAGAGTCGTACCTCCCTAAAATCCAGCAGGTCATCCAGGAGAGTCTCAGAGTGTGGAGCTCTACGCCTGAGCCCATCAACGTCTACAGGTACGGCCAGGAAAGGACAGTGGAGACAGTTGTTAATGTAGCTAAAATCTGGGAGCAAGACTAAAACAGCGCTCCTATCCTAGGTGAATGCAGGTAGAAAGGTATTTATGATGAGTATCGCTGACAACACAGAGTCGTTATCAGCAGTGGTAGAAACTCAGAATATACAACAGTTCAAAAACACAGGCTGCTTCAATGGGCTACTAAATTAATATTCTGTCATCTGTCATTTTTCTGTAGGGAGAGCCAGAGGCTGTCCTTCACCATGGCTGTCAGGGTGCTGCTGGGCTTCAGGGTGACGGAGGAGGAAATGAAGCATTTGTTCTCAACCTTCCAGGACTTTGTTAACAACCTCTTCAGTCTGCCCATAGACCTGCCATTTAGTGGCTACAGAAGGGTAAGTGTATCATATGACCACTTCCTTCTCATTGGTATTTTTGGAGCTTAGTATATCTTTTTACATCTTAATGTCCCCAAAAATAAAAGTGTTTTCCCAACTGGTCACTGCAGATGTCTGCACCTCCCTGAGCCTGGTTCTGTTCAACGGTACTTCCTGTTAAAAGGGAGTTTTTCTTTCCTACTGTCATCAAGTGTTTGCTCATAGGGCGTTGTGCAACTGTTTAGGTTTCTTTCTAATATTGTAGGATCTTTACCTTACAATACAAAGCATTTTGGGGTGCTTGTTGCTCAGCTAAACTGAATTTGCATCAAAGAGGACATTTTAAGGGTAAAAGGACTTAATTTGTGCATTGTTGCAGGGTATCCGTGCACGAGACACCCTTCAGAAGAGCATAGAGAAAGCCATCAGGGAGAAGCCCATGTGCACCCAAGGCAAAGATTACAGTGACGCGTTGGATGTCCTAATGGAGAGTTCCAAAGAGAATGGCAGCGAGCTCACCATGCAAGAACTCAAGGTAACATACCTAAGCACAAAAAAAACAGCCACCTGGGAAAGAGGGTAGGGTAGTGCAAGCATGCGCTGAAAAGAAGCCAGAACCACAAGAAGTCACTCAATCGCATGTAGAAGCACGTGGATACACACTGATTCGTATGGGTGCAAACACACATAGAAATCTCTATTTACCTAGCAGAGAGCTGCCAAAGGGAACCAGTCTGGGCTGACTGAAAACACAAACAGTCATCATAATTCTCTGACAAATCAGCCAGTGATCATAAGTACCAAACGGGGATAATGATACACACCCTAATGTGAAATATGAAAGCAAGCTGCGTTAATACCTATCGGCTGACAGGAACAGCATAACACACACATACACACACACTCATGGTCAGGCACACCCTCTGTTTACCTATTAAAGTAATTCAGAGGAATTCTGTGGAAACTCGACTCTCTGCTTCTCTCTCGGACTTTGTGGTTTCTGGGTTAAGTCCAGGGCCAAAAATAAGTCAACACTCCCCCCCTGCTAGGGGTCTGAAAGAGGCCTCCTGTACGCACACACTCACACACAAATATTTAAATACACACACAAAGTGAACTGGGGAGGCCCTGTCGCAGAGGCCCAGGCTGAAGCTTTCTCCTGCAGTTTTCTGACGCATGCATTTATAGCACACACACACACACATGTGTATATAT